TCTTTAGCTCAGTTTCCCTTCCTGCCGTGCACTGCAGTGGCCTCCTCAGATGTGACTTTGCGCCTGCCTTCATTTAAGCCTTGACCTACCCTGCTGGGGTGGGCTCAGTCCACGGGGGGTGTTGAGCACATGGGGCCAAGCCATTGGGAGCATTTCAGGCTGTACTTTGAGCAAGAGGATGACGCAAATTGCTTTTTAAGGGCACAAGATAAAACAGCTGCTTGGTTTCCACTGCAGATGTGCCGCGGGTGGCACATTAGCTCCACAGGGGATGGGTACAGCCGTCTGCTTCCCTACAGTGTCTATGTGGGTAAGGCCATCAGGTAGCTTGAACTTATAGGCCACCTGGAAATGGATCCAGGTAGGGCTGGGAAGGGCTTTGAAGACGTGTGATGAGGTTTCTCATGCCAGCAAAGCTTCCCTGTCCTCAGAAAACATGACTCAAGAAGCTCCTTATTCCTTGGAGGAGTGGTGCAGATGGGGGGATGGAGGTGAATTACCTTTGACTGCCCCATCTCTCATCCCAGAAGTGCCAAGTGCCCGGGGAAGGTGACCCACTGCAGCATGACCCCATCCCCTCCAGCAGCCGCTGTGTCCTGGCGGGGGAAAAGCCGCGGGAAGCGAGGGAAGACACTTCCTCCAGCGGCGGATCTGAGGTCACCTCCTGGCCCTTGATCCCTCCAGCCGGAGGTATTTGGGTCAGCGGGGAAGCACGTCTGAGAGCGACGTCCCTTCCTTCTCTCTCCCTGGAGATTAATTTTTAAAGGAACAAATAGGCTTGGCCGCAAGTGCTACGCAGCGCGAGGGTTTAATGATGTTTTTTGGAACAATGAGCTAAATACCAGGATCTGCGTCTCGGAGTGGTGATGTATTCTCCTGTTTTTTCTCACCTTCCTGCCACCCACCTTGCTCTGCTCCCAGAAAAAGCCAGCGAGGAGCTTTTCATCCTTTTGGGATGGCCTTGGTTCAAAGAAAGCTGATCGGGTGCCTGGCATGTGGGACCTGCTGGGGTCCTGCCGTGAGCATGTGGACATGGTGCTCACAGCCCTCCCTGGCCCCTTAGCATCGCTAGCCCTATTGCAGGTCCTGACCCCCATGTGCTAGTCCTCCTCTGGGTGCCCAGCAGCGTTGTCACCCGTTGGCAGGAGGAGGACCTGGTGGCTGAAGCACACCTGGTCCCAGAGCTCCATCATGGGCACAGCTTGATGATGTTGAGCTGGTGGGCAAATGGGTCATCCTCCCCAGTTTCTCCTCTGTCTTGAGCCCAGAGTGAGTGGTGTCAGAGAGGAAGGCTCAGCTTGGCCACGTCTCCTACATCACTGCATCATGTTTTTCTTGGAGATCCTCAACCACTGTATTCCCTTGTCCATGTTGAAGGCCACATTGCTTTGGACCTCCCTTGGGACAGTAGTTTGGCTTTGTTAAGTCAAGATGGGAAAGAGCAATTTGTAGAGCTTTAGCTGGAGCTTCACCCTATGTGATCATGCTGTGGGATGGCTGCTGGTGGGGTGCTCCCCTTGGTCAACAACCTCTCTGCTCCGACAAAGAGGCACCTGCCCGATGCTGGGCTCTTCCCATACCCCAAAGCCTCCCTAGAACTACCAGGAATGTCCCATCAGCTCTGGAAGCTGCTGGTGACCTGGGTGGCAGCAGGGTGTCATGGTCCCCGCCAGAGCAAGCAGCAAGGAGTGGGGTGCATGCCCCCTGTGGGGGTCAAGGCTCCACAGCTGCTGTCTTATTGCCTTCAGGAGACATTTTGGGTGGGAACAGGGTGGCATGGATAGGGCTCGTCTTGGTGGAACTCACAGTGCCAAGCAGGGTGAGTAGAGAGGTGGCTTTCAGGGAGGGACAGCACGTGTGGAGCCACCTCTAATATTGCCAGTCCCAGAAGTCATCTTTGCTCCCCCTCACAAAAGGACACTGCTTTAAATGCCTTTATTCCCCTAAAAAAGAGGAAAAAAAACACAAAGTAAAAAAGTGGTTTCTGAAGCTTTTGGTGTTTCTTTAAAGGTAACCCTTGGAGAGGGGGTTTCTTGGCCATCACCAGCCAGATCCCCCCGCAGCACCCACCCAGGTAGCTCCAAACCCAGCCCCTTCGGCTGGTGCTCCAGGGACGTGGTTGGACTCATGGCACCTTGAGACTTGATCAAGTCTTAACCCGACTCCTGTCGAAGTTCTGTGCAGCTCTTGAACTCCTCCCAGCCCCATCCCAAGCTGGATTCCAGCCATCGCTTCTTTCAGGATCTGCTTGATCACACCACGCTGCTGATAAGGCTTTGTGCCTCTTGTGGGGGCTTGTCTTTGTGTGCTTCAGTACCTCACCCAGGTTATCAGCCACAGAGGGTTGTGAGGTGTGGCCGGGTGAGGAATTAACCGTCTCATCCAAACCCTATGGAAATCAGAAGCAAAGATTCCCCTCTTCTTATTTTTATCCCGTGGGCTTTAAATCAAGTCGTAACTTCTCCAGCATTGGAGGAGGTGCCGAAGGGAAGCCCTGACTCAGGCTGGTTAAGCCCCGTCTGGTTTCCACCAGAGGAATAGCTGCCTCTGCCCTTCATGTCTAGGAAAATCCAGGAGAAACTTCAATACTGTTACAGAGATTGCTAAAAATAAACCCTCATTCCCTGGAGCAGATCCAGAGACTCTGGCTCCATGTCTAAAGGGGCAGGTTTGGGACCACACTTCACCTGAACCTCACTTTTCCCCCAACCTGTGTTTTCTGCCTTGGCTTTCCTCCAGACTTGCCCTGACCCAGGTGAAGGAGATCACCACCATCACTCTGGGGATAAAACAGGGCTGGGAAATCACACAACCCTTTCCCCGGGGGCTGCTTTGGTGTGAATTGTGCTGGGACCAGAGCTGGGACCGAGGTGGCTTTCTCCTGCCCTCAGGTCTTGCTGAAGTTTCCTTCCAGTGCTGGAGCTTGCCCAGCCCTCCTGGCTTCCCGGGGCTTCGCTGGGAAGACAAAACCCCGCTCTGGAAGTGAGGCTATTGTTCTTACTAATTTTAACTTTATGTTCTTCCCCAAGCCTATTTTTATTCATTGCTTGTGGTAAGCCCTTTCTCTAAGGTAGAGCAATTTGCCACAGGACTCTATTTTTGTGTTTACTGGTTTTAATTGAGCACTATCTCCTTTTGACAAACCCAAAGCTGGAGGAGATTTAAGCGCCCGTTGCTGAGCCTCTCACCCTGGGTTTGCTTTGATCTCTGCAGGTGAGTGTGTGTTTTTGGGGCCAGAGATTGATACTGCTTATTTGCATGTAAATCTCTGGGTTATTAAGATCCGAATCTGGCCCTTTAAATTTAATACTTTGCTTTATGCTTTTATTTCCGTGTTTCTTAAAGTAATTTCCAAAAATAACAAACTTCAAACATGATGGGGCCATCTAACGTTTTACTGCCTTGGCTGGAGTAGAAGGAACATTTCTGGAAGTATATTATCCAATTTAACGAGCCTTTCCCATCTTGGCTTTGCTCCCACCCCTCACCCCCTCTCGGAGTTGTTTTGGACGGCTCTTTGGAGCCGTGCCACCTAATCCTATTAGAAGGACTTTCATTACACTGTGCCTTGTGTTTATAACCAACAAAATCAGCTGGAGAGGGGGGTCCTCTCTGTCTCCCTCACCCTTCGGTATTTTGCCTGGTGTTGAGACAAGAGCCTGGCGAGTCCCACAAGGCTCCAGCTCAGACCTTTCTCTTGCTTTTATTGCTCTGCATTTATTAAGGAGGACTTGAGACTAAATTGGGTCCTTGCAAACTTACAATTAATTTGGAAGGGTCAGTTCTTCCCAGGCTAGCAAGGGCTTCTTTGTGTTGCCCTTTTTGAAAGGCAGAGGTTGGAGAGGCTCTTATATAGCCAGGACTTGCTATTTTCTGAAGGGACCTGGTTGTTTTCTGAAGATCTCACAGCTTTTGAAGGATGGGTCGTTATTGTGTGAGGCTGTGTTAAAAGGGTTTGCAGAGTGTTTGGTTTGGGTGCAAAAACAACAACGCAAAAAAAGGGATAAAAAAAGCAAGGAGCACATGTCCTGGGGCCTGTGTGTGGCAGATGGTGCTTGGCAGCCCAGAGCTGAGGCTGGCAGATGCTCCAGGAGGTCCCTCCACTTGGTGCTAGGTAGAGCTGGGGGCCCCTTGTCCATCCATCCTGCCTCACGCCCCATTGAGGGGACCTCTTTCTTCTCCTCTGAGCTGGTAGACTGAGATGTTTTTCCTTACCACATTGCTTTTCTTGAAATCCTGCCTTTCCTCCCCAAAATAGTCACAGAAACCATTAAAGAGAGACAGTGGAGGGCAGGGAGAAGATGATGAGCTGAAATAGTCTGGAAATAATAAAAGCTTCTGAAAAAAAGACAGACAGTGGTTTTCTCCAGAGGTGGGTTGAGAGGAAACATGAGATCATAGTTCACTTGGACATCACGGGGCAGGGCCAGGGATGTGATCTAACCTGGCACAAGCTGCGTGTTTCCCATCAGCTCAGCTGCAATGAAATCCCCACTGAACACGGGGCGAGGGGCAGGGGAGGCACTCCTGACCATGGGGAGTGGGGAGCAGTGATGGATGAGTGTGGTGCTTGAGGACACAGAGCTATAGCTCAACATAGGAAACTCTTCATAGCCAAAGCCAGCGGGCAGAGGGCTCTGAGAAGCTCGTGGGGGCTACTTATGGAAGCAGCATAAGTAGAGGCATCATTATACCTCCACGGGCCATTAGGAAAGGAGCATGGAAAGCTCAGCACCTTCCCTAGGACATGTGTGAACCCAATAGAGAGGAATAGAAGGAAAACCTGAGCAGTGAGATGCTGCAGACTGCACCCTGTCCATGATGCTGGTGGGCAGTGCAGTTGGTAACCAGGTTATTTATGAGCTGTGCCATTAACAGTGTGGTGGGGCTGCCTCTCTGCACAACCACCTTCAAAGCCGGATTCAGTCCCTGGTTGTTCCTCTCCTGTCCCCCCTTTGATGTTCCACCCTGACCATCACCTTTCTTCTCTCTCTCCCCAGCATGGGTCGGCTCCTTGGCCATGGGCATGATTTTCTTCTGCTCTCCCATCGTCAGCATTTTCACCGACCGGATCGGCTGCACGACCCCCACGACCACCCGGGCCCCGCCAGCCACGGGAGCTGCCATCGCCTTCATCGGGCTGCTCTCCAGCTCCTTCACCAAGTAAGGCTGCAAAGGGGCCATCCAGCTCCTCAGCAAGCTCCTTGCTGTTCCCCACAGCCCCTCTGCCTAGACATTGCTGCTTCTTTTTGGGGCAAAGCAGGTGGTTTCCATCCAGATGAGAGGGCTCTTGGCATCCCCACAGCCCATTGCAGCTCACATGTGCTCAGCCTGTCACTCTCCAAACTGAACCAGGTTACTCTTTTGTCCTTTTATAACAAGAGAGTGAATTTTGCCTGAGTGAAGCACTTTATTTTATGGGATTTCAGCTCTCAGGTCCTTCATTTGATCTTTAAAACACACAATGAGAAGCTGGTGTGACTGTTGCAGGCAGCTCCAAAGACAGATTCATGAACAAAACCGTTCTCTTTTGCAATCGGTTTCACATTTGGGACTGAAAGTAAATTAATGCTTAGTATGTTTGATGGGTTACACCTAGCAAGGGAGAGTTTCTGTGCAGGGTAGATGGGGAGGAGGATGCAGGTGAGGTTTGGAGCAGGTTGTGCTGTTACTGTGCTGGCATCCTTCTGGCAGTGCAGGATGATCGTTGCTCCTCATTTTTCCTGGCTGATCCCATGCCATGAGTTTCTGCTGGCAGGCACTCACTGATGTGCATTTGGATGTTAGGTGTACCTGATTTGGTGTGAGTCTGTCTTTGTGGGAGCAAAAAGAGGTCACCTCTGGGCTCTTTTATGCAGCACTTGTTAAAATGTAATCTCAAGGGCACTGTGGAGACACCCTCCACAGCATCATTTGCCCCAGTTTTTCCTGTAGAAAAATATTGCTTTGGGTTGGATTTCAGTTAAAATCAGTATTTTAATTAAAATGCTTTAAGAAGTGGGTTTTTTTAAGGCAAATACATGCTGGTTTCCCAGAGGACAAGTTGCCTGTTCTGTGCTCCTCCCTGCCCACCCTGCCTGCACAGGATAGCAGACCACCGACTCCCTTTCACCCTGGTCATTGAGGCCTTCGTGCTTGTCCCAGCCCTGGTTCCCTGTGGATATGTGCTATGTGGTGGGTCTCCAAGTCCCCAGCTGGGGGAGCCCCCCCATTACTTGGAGGGGGGAGGCAGCTTCTGAGTCTCCAGGAACTGGGATGAATTTCAACCAGGGGGCTTGGGATGATAAAACCATCTTGGGCAGCAGCGTGGAAGGAACCACACTCTGCAGCTTCCTCTGCAGGTGCCACCTCTTTGTATTCCTAAAGGTAATAGTCATCAGAGCAAGTGCAGTCAGTCCTGAAGGGATGCTGGCCTCCTGGCAGTGCAGATCACAGGGGCTCCCCATGTCATCTTGCTTCCCTTCTAATCGACAAGGCTTGGAATATTCTCCCCCCTCTTGAAAAATGTTCGTGCAAAGAAAACAAGCTCTTGGGACCGTATCGCTGCCAGTGGCTCATTGTGTTTGGCTTAAAAAGAAACCAAACAGCACAGACAGAGAAGAGTATTATTTCCAGGAGAGCTCCAGAGCTGAAATTCCCATTTCCTGCCTTTTTGCTCTCGGTTCACATTCCTTTGGCTGCCTTTTAAGGCAGAAAGGAGCCCCTTTGCAGCTGGACTGCAGCGAGGGAAGCTGCCTTCGGTACAGCCGAGCCAGAGGAGGAGCAGCAAGGCTGCGGGATTTGGCACTGCTCCATCTGGATGGCAAAAGCCAGTCCTGAAATTTGGAGCTAGCAACTCCTGCTCACCCAGAACAATGGGGAAGCTTTTTTTCCTGGTCCCCCTTGCCAGCTCCGCCAGCCACAGCTGGAGATGACCCTCTCGCTGCCAGCTGTGCTACATGCACTGGTGCAGAGGGAGCTGCTGTTCAAGAGCTGCTGCTGGAAAGGGGGGCACAGCGTGGGTTTGGTGGGCTCAGGCAGGGTCGGATCGAGCCTGACCAAGCCTTTTTCTCCTGATTTCTCTAAAATGGGTTTGCTTTGTCCAAATGGAGGTGCAGGGGGTTCCTAGCACTGCATTGAGCTGATCCAGAACCCCACTGAGCCTGCAGAGCTCATGCTCAGTGTCTCCTGCTCTCAAAATATTGGGAGCTTTGTATGAAAACCACTAAAGGAACAAAATATGGTGAAAAGCAGAGCTCTGGGGAAAGCTGAAGTTTTCCGGATGGGGCAAGGCAAAGCTTTTCCTCTTTGCTGCCTTGCATTGGGGTGTCTCCCATCATCTGCTCTCTCCATGGGAGACCTTGTTAGCCAAGGGAGATGATGCTGCCCATCCCACTGCAGGGCAGCTGGTTGATTCCCAGCAAGCAGGGTGGGAAATCCTGGCTAAGAAGCATGGCTAAAGGGAGCCCATGCTCATGCAGGGGTGTCTTAGCATCAGCGGGGAGCAGATGGCCAACCGTAGCATTTGTCTCCATTTATCCAACACGTCAGCTTAGTGCGGTGCCAAAGCTGGTGTGACCTGGCGGAGATGGCCAGGGCTGGTGTGTGGGAGGTCAGTGACAGCCTGCATGGCCCAGCTGCTGCCTGGCTCCAGCGGAGGGGGTTTCTGATGTGGCTTCGTTCTGGAGTAGCTGCAAATTGCCTTTTGTGACAGTCATTTGTCTTTGAGCTGTTGGGTACAGCAAGCACGCTCTGCTCTCTGCTTGGCTAGCTAAAGGGACAAGCTTGTAATGGAAGAAATGATGAGGTTGTAAACATTTTCTCAACTTTCAAACTGCTCTCTTAGATCTGGGCTGCTGTCTTCTCGCTTGCTGCGTGAGCAGCACTCAATATTGCACATGAGTTGTTCTGAGTGTTGGTGTAAAGACCCTGTTAGTGCAGTGTGTGTGGCTGGTGAGCTGCCCAAAAGGTCCCATCGCGCTCTCTTCCCAGACTTTTGCAGCCAAATGTACTGCATGGGGATGAAGCAAAGTCCTTCATCTGGAGAGAAACACAGTGGGTTATTTGCACTGCCTAAATTTAGGCTCCTTTCTCAGCTGCTCTTGTTGGGAAAACTGGGCTGGCAATTGGGAAACGGCTCCTTCCAAGGGCTCTCGGGGCTCTCTACCTGTTGTTTAGAGCAGCCACTTCACTCCCTCCTTGAGACCAGCCGCCTATGTAAGGTACAAATGAGATTGATTGTCTAACTGAAGGTCCCAGGGGAGCTTAGAGAAGAACAACTTAATTAGCCTGGAGTCTGGGCAGAAACTCAATGCTTCCTTCCTAAAAGCCTAATAACCAGCAAGGCTGGTGCCTTCTGCTTTCAAACACTGGGTGCAGAATGTTTTCAATTAGCCCTTTTAGTGGGGGAAAAAATGGATTTCCAGCTAAAAATAACCCACTGTGGCTACCTTTAGAAAACCTTGCTTGTTGTTGTAGTTTAGAAACCATTCGTGCTAGGTCATCTTCCCAAGGAGGGCAGGTTGGCTGCTGCCTTCTCTTTGCAGAAAGCACTCCCCAGCTAACCTTCATGTTCAGGAAGATTTAACATGCCAGCTGTGAAATGAGGATAATCCTTGCTTTGGCTAGGGAATAAGCTCCTTGAGGTCAGCCTGTCTGTGTCGCACCTGTGGTGTGTGAAACCTGGGTCTTGACTCCATGTTTTGCAGGACCATGCAGGAGGAAGCTTCCTTACCTGTGTGTAACATAACCACCTCCGTGTGTTTTGGGTTTTTTCCCCACTAGGTCTCTGGAAGTTCGTTATTTCACCTATGGGATCCTCTTTGGCTGTGGCAGCTCCTTCGCCTTCCAGCCCTCGCTGGTCATCCTTGGTCACTACTTCAAGCGCCGCCTTGGCTTGGCCAACGGCATCGTGGCCGGTGGCAGCTGCCTCATCTCCGTGCCACTTCCCTTCTTCCTGAAGATAGTTGGGGAAGCCATTGGGCTGGCACATACTTTCCAAGTACTCAGTGCCTTAATGCTCATCCAGATATTCTTGTCCATGACCTATCGGCCCATCTTGCCACCTTCTTGTGACTCTCAGCGGGACGGGCAGGACAAGCTGGGCAGCCGGAGCATGCGGCAGCAATGCTGGTCCCAGACACGCAAGTATTTCAACTTGAGGATTTTCCGGAGGAAGACCTATCGGATTTGGGCCTTTGGGATCGCTACTGCTGTCCTGGGATATCTTGTACCTTACATGAACCTGGTAAGAGCCTTGGAATTGAAGGGGTGTCCCTTTGCCTGGAGTGAAAGGGCTCCTCCATGCAAGCAAGGAGGAGGTGGGAAGGTGGAGATGGGCATTAGGGCCAGGGCCACCAAAAGCCTTGAAGCTCAGAAACTGCTGCAAGTGTATCTTGTAAACAGGGATAGTGATGGGAGGAGACAGCTTGTTAATGCTGCTCTGTCCTAGGGTGGGCAGAGTGGTCACTTCACATGTCTTCTGAGAACAAGCATTGGTAACAGAAAAGGATGGAGGTGGTGTGTGCAGGTCAGCGTGGTGCAGACATGAGGGTCACACAACCACCCCCAGCGCCAAGAGCCCTCTGTGGGATGTCTTGTCCCTTTTCTAGGATACGAGAGGGATTAACTCAGGATTCCCATCCTTGTGTCCTTCCCTCCATCCTAGGTAAAATACGTGGAGAAACGATTTCAAGAAACCAAAAAGGACTGGATCCTCCCGGTTTGCCTCGGAGCTATGTCGGGGCTGGGGCGCTTGATTGCAGGGCGCATTGGTGACTGCATTCCTGGGCTGAAGAAGATTTACCTGCAGGTACGTTGTGTCCAACCCTCCACGTAGCTGCTGGCTAACCACTGCGGGTCAGGGGATGGCATCTCTACAGCAGTATTGATGCTCTGCTTAATACCTGTCAACTACAGACTGCAAACCCTTTACTGGCCACTAGCTAACACCCTTGTCTGCTGTTAGGGAAGAACATTTACTATAGAAAGGTGCACAGAGAAGTTATACACTTGACCTGAGGCCTCGGTGTCCGTTCAGCAATCAAACTCTGTTGCCCCAAATCATCCCAAACTGCTGGACCGCCTCTCACCTTCTTGTGCTTTCTGAAGAACAAACTGCTGAAATGTAGCAGCTAATCCAGCAGCTAATCCTTCCTAAAGCTTCTTAAAAGGTTATTCATATGGGCCTCTCTGAGATGAGAGCAGAGGCTGGATGGCATTGCTGGATCCAGAGGAGGCAGCGATGTCATTGACCTGTTCAGGATCATCTTCATGATACTTCCTGCTGCCCGTCCCCACTCATCCTGCACACCAATGACATGCCCACTTTTGTCTCCCCAGGTTGCATCCTTCGTGCTGTTGGGCATCCTGTGCATGATGATCCCCCAGTGCCAAGGGTTTGAGGGTGTCATTGTCATCTGCCTCTTCCTCGGCCTTTGCGATGGCTTCTTCACCACCATCATGGCCCCCATTGCCTTTGAGCTGGTGGGGCCCATGCAGGCATCCCAGGCCATAGGGTACCTCATGGGGCTGATGGCTGTGCCCATGACCGCGGGTACGCCGATAGCAGGTTGGTAGTGCCGTGGTGCTGGACCTGGACTCAGCTGTTGGGAGGGAGCAGATCCTCGCGGAAGCTTTCACCTTGGGTGATATTTTAGAGTGAGATGAGATATATTGAATATATTTGAATTTCTGGGTTATCATGTTGCATGGGGTTTGAAGTATGGGTGTAGCATCACTCCATGCTATATCCTGTAGCATCTCAAGGCCTTTCTCCAGGCTGAGGAAAGGTGGCTGGAGGGGGAACAGTGAGAGCGAACCAAGATCACATTAACTGGTTTCTGTTCGAAGCTGAGCTAAGAATTGGCAGAGATCAATCTTTCAGAAGTTATTTCAGGTATCTGGGGACTGATTGTTAATACGTAACTTCGGCCCCTGGATTGCTGAATCAAAGTAAAAGATGTAACTACCCCAACCTGTGTCTTCCCAAGGTTTGGGTATGGGTTTAAGCATAGTAATAACCACAATGTCCCACAAACGAGCACTTTGCTGGCCCTTGAACAGCAGAATGTCTGCATGAGCAATTGCTAAGCTAAAGCTGTTTAAATGCCTTGGATCTTTCTGCTTCTGGCAGCCAAATTCAGTTTAACACCCTCATGAAGAAAGGTGGGGGTTGCAGATGTCTTGCTGTTAGGGTGCTGCTGCAGTACCCTTGCACTGGGCTTGCTGGGTGCAGGGGCTCATTTCATGGATATAATCCCCAGGCAGGAGAAAACTCAGAGGGATTTTCCGGTGCTGATAAATAGCAGTGTGTTATTCTCCAAGGATTCCTGACTGTGTCAGAACTTGCCAAACCAGCAAGTGCAGAACCTCATTGTTTTTTAAGAGATTGATTGTTGTTTGTAACTGGCTGACAGCCCCGTGCAGATAAAGTATCCATAAGCAAACTGAGGCTTCCAGATGAAGGCCATCTGGAGAGGAGCAACCCCTGCCTACTTTTCCTATGACCTCCTGGCTGACAAGGCATGGGGAAGAGCAACCTGAAGTGTCTGGCTGTTTAACAGTGCCTCAGCTTGTGTACGGGATTGTTTGGGATGTGTGCCGATTGAGTCCTGTTCTGGTTAAATAGGAAGGACAGCTGAGGCTTTCCTTGGCTTCCTTGCTGCATGGTGTTGGCTGTGCACATCCTTTAATCCGGGGCATACAAACTCCAAGGAATGCAATGGAAAAACTATTGGTTTAAAAACCCAAATCTCCCCAGATCAGGTGGTTGAAGCACTCAAGGGAGGAAACAAGCCTGTCATTAGGCTGACATGGCTATAACCACTGTTGTTCTTCTCTTCCAGGATACCTCAATGATTACTTTGGGAATTATGACGCAGCCTTTTATTTTGCCGGAGTCCCCCCCATCATCGGTGGCTTGGTGCTCTCTGTTGTCCCACTGGTCCACCAGAGGATGCTGAAGAAGCAGCGCCTGGATTCTGGCAAAGACAAGATGCTGTCCTCGGAGGCGGTGGTAAATGGGGAGCTGCTGCCAGGCTGTCCAGCCTCTGAAGCACACATATAACACCCCGCTCACTGACACTCGCTGTCACCACCAGCAGCCTCTCCATAGCCTAAGCACAGGCCCTTTCCCAGATGGACCGTAATTCCCAGTGATTGCAGACGCACTATGTTTGTAAAAGAAAAACCCACACAAAGCTCTTCTAGTTAAAGGCTTTTAACTAGCAGAAATGCTCTTTTTTGGGGACAATTTTGATTTCAAATCCTGTTTTGTTTTTCATCTAACCATTTTTCTAAGGAGAACTTTCTCACCAGGATCCAAACCTGATTGATCTCCCGCTCCTCTCCCTGGTTTTCTATATGTCACAACAGAGGTTTACAGCTAATAAATGCCTTTTCAAAGCAGGCTGCAGACAGAGCTTGTGGAAGCAGCTGCCCTGGTGCCACTTGGGTGCCCATGTCCAAGCGGGACAGCCCCCTCCCGTCCAGCATCAGAGGCTGTTTTGGAGCCAGCAGATCAGAAGAAGGAAAAAGGCTGCTTTAGTCCACACAAACCAATGCACAAACCAAATAAATGGTCGGCGTGTCCTGCTTTAACCTTCTCATTTCCTTTTCTGCTGCTTTCCCACACACCAGGGAGCTGCAGCTGGGATGATGGGGAGCTCAGCCAGCTCCAGTCCTTCCACCCTCATCCACCAGAGCCACGTGGGAGCACCATGTTCCTGCAAAATATGCCTTAAAAATGCACGGACGAGACCAGCAGGTCCCTTGGCCACTTTCCATCTCTGTTTTCTTGCCCAGTGACTAATGACTGGGCTTTTAAGGTGTGAAAGAGAGGGGCAGCTCCCAGCACAGCCCACGGTATCTGTCTCTACAAGGTGAAAGCCATGGGTGAGCTGCTGAGATGGACATTTTGGAGGCGTTGAGGCACACAGGGTTGGGATGGAGCCCCGCGTATTATGGGTTCACTCCATGCCGGGAGGCAGCTTCCCTGTCGGGCACAGGGCATCCATGGGTGTATGGATGCAGTTCAATTGGGGTACAGGGTGTCACTGCTCTTTTTTGGGGCCAGTTGTGTATTACGCAGCAATAACTATGTGTTAGTATTGGCAGGGCAAGTCTTGTGTTTCCAAAAGGTTTAAAAGCCCTGGCAGTGTTTAACTTGGAGCTTGTGTGTTGCTGTGCAGAGCTAGTGCAGGGTCAATGCTGTCCCCAGGGAGAGAGGTCAAGAAAGCAGCACAGCCCATGGGGACCCACCACACAGAGCAAAGGCAGAGTCTGCCTTGTGTCCGAGCTCCCTGCCTTGGTGGGTACCTGCGTCAGTGGTGCTGGCCAGGACCAGGGTACCTTTTCCTGGGAATAATAACCCAGGAGAGAGCAAGAAACAAAGCTCATGTTTTATCCTGGCTGCAAAACCATCCTTCATTGGATTTTCATTTTATTCAGCTGCCATTAGAAAAAGAGAAGCCTAAAGAGGGGATGTGTGGTGTGACGTGGGAATCATCCCTCAGTGCCCCCATCCCTCATGTAGGGGTTTGTGACACCAAGACAAAGCTTTGCTGTGGAAACTTGGTTTCATTGGAGGCCGTCCTCCTGTGGGCAGTGGTGGAACTTTTGTATATAGGCTCAGGATCCTGCATGTCCCTCTGGTCCTGGTTTTGATCATGTTGGCTAATGCATTAGAAGGTCTTGTGGTTTTGTGGCCCTTCTGTCCCTGTATGAGCTGGAAATTTAACTGGTATGTTGTGACGTGTCTGTTTATAAAATGAGATGTTCATTTGTCTCTTCTATATACTTTTCTATGACTGTTATTACCCTTCCTTGCCCATATTGCATCATCTGCTACAGTTCTGCTGACCCATTGCTTGGTTTAGGAGGCTACAGGAGGCAGCAGGAGCTCCATCAGGAGGCAGGACATTGCCAGGAGCTGAACCACGGTGCCCTTGATCTGTCTGCATTGGGGTTTGCTGGATTTATCCTAGGGCAAGGCATTAAAGTGATGCTTTTCAGTTGGGAGCATTGGCAGTGGGGCATCTTCAAAGCCAGCTGATAGCTGGATGAAAGAAATATGTTGCATCATAACACCTTTTGTGAGTTGGGGCCTTTATCAGAGTTCAAGGAAGTTCCTTAAATCATGTTTTTGATCTTAATTGCCCCCGGAAGGAAAGCTTATGAGGGATTTAAATACAAAACAGCTTCTTCAGACCAACAAGAGGACAAACGGAGCTGCCTCAAACCTGTGTCTGGCCTGAGCAAGAGGCTGCACGGCAGAGCCATTGACGACTGCACCCTTGTGCGACTGTTGTGGTAAAACCTTTCTGGTCCTAAGGTGATTTATGGTTCAAATCCCAAATTTCAACAGATTTCCACTTGCCTTAAATGCTCTGCCTGCCTGCAAAGGTCTTTGCCCCGGGAGGAGCCTGCATTCAGTGCAATGGGTGCTTAATGCTGCAGCAGCATCAGACCAGCTCCGTGTCAGGCAGGAGCTAGTGAGGCTCTCAGGAGGGATGGTGGTACCCGTGTTCATCCCTCCTAAATGGTGGTTCTTTGCCCACTGCTCTTATTTCCAGCCCTCTAGGAGATTTTGAGTGATGAGCTGCATTCATGGACCACCTGACTTTGGTCAGAGGAATCCACCCCTCATCCTATCCTGGACCAATGTCTGGGATCAGCCTCCTAAAACCACTCGCAGCATCTTTGTCTGGTCAAGAACCTGCCCTTGGTCAAGATGAGGGCAAATTCTGCATCGGGGAAGGCATGTTTGAGCAACAGCAATGAAAGGTTCACCTCGTCTGCAAACACAGATGGGAAGAGGAAGGGCAAGGGTTGGAGTAGTCTGTCAACATAAAGGGGGGTATTTTTGGGTTTGTTTGTGAGCTAAATGCTGCCTCAGTGTGTGTGATTTGTCCCTTGAGTGTCAGGCAGTTTGAAAGAATTTTTGCAGACTCTGTGGCATGTGAGAAGTGGGATTGTGGCCGTTTGAGTACCTATAAGCAGGGAGAAATTGCACTGGTCTCCTAAACATCCTCTTAGCCTGTTGTAGTCTGGTGCTGTGATGCCAACTATGTCCCTACCTGTGCAAAAAGCTCAGTCCTAAAGCCCCTCCTGTTTCTTTCCATCAGGATCCACTCATCTTTGCCCAGCACATCCATGTCCTCTTCTGGATGGGCGAGGGCTGAACAGGAGGCAGCATTCACAGTGATGTAAGGCAGAAGCTCTTCCCTGTGATGGTGCTGAGGCGCTGGCACAGGGTGCCCAGAGAAGCTGTGGCTGCCCCATCCCTGGCAGTGTTCAAGGCCAGGTTGGACACAGGGGCTTGGAGCAACCTGCTCTAGTGGAAGGTGTTCCTGCCCGTGGCAGGGGTTGGAACTGGATGATCTCAAGGTCCTTTCCAACCTGAACCATTCTATGATTCTATAATTCCATGAAAACTACCTTTTACTCAGCTTTCCAATAAAACAAACCCCAAAATTCTCCCTCCCCGGTGAGTGCTGGGCTGTGATTCCTGCCCTACTCCCTTGGGCTGGGAGGGGAAGGTGGAGCCTGACGCTCCGGGCTTGGCCAGTTTTGGGAACCACAGGAGCAGGTTGAGTCCCCTGGGTAGGAAAGGGGTGGAAGGGAGCTGTGGGGACCCGCTCTGCTCCGTGCCTGGGGTGTTTGGAGAGCTGCAGGCTCGCGTGTAGCCTTATGTAAGTGTACAGCAAGCACAGGACGTGTCCCAGCAGCGCGCTGCTCGGGGCTTGGCTGGGGCTGCCTTTCTAAATCTTTAGCTTGAGGGTGTTCAAAACCGAGCTGTTGTCTTTTCTTCCCTTTTTCTTCTTTCTTTTGGTGCTGCAGAGTGAGGCCCAGGGTTTAACTCCTCTTGCTCTGGCTGAGGGATGGAGTGGGAGCACCAGCTGAGCTGGAAGGGCTCGGGGGGGTACTTGTTTTCATCTTTCAGGTCTCCTGGTGATGGGCAGATGAGCAGGGCAGGAGCTGCCCGGGATGTGCCATGATTCATGACTTAAAGCTTTTTTTGGGTTGTGAAACAAAGCTGGAACCATTTGTGAGAGCTGCTTCGTTGCAGCGTGCCCTGCCCCGAGGTCCTGTGGCCGGGGAAATGCATGTTTGTAAGTCACATAGCTGAAACTTAACAAATTCTGGCCACTCATTGGCTGGGCTTGAGGTTTCCTGACATCATCCTGCTGTGGGAAGGCCACATCCTAATTGCCATCAAAGCTTAAGGGCTTTTGCAGGTCTGCTGCGGTACCGTGGGGTTTGGGACCCCTACTTTTTGGCTCTGCCTCCCACCATTGTGGGTGGTTTGTAACCCTCCGGGCTGAGCTGCCTGGTCCGGAGGAGCTAGGAGCAGGAGGTGGCCTGCACTGGGCAAGGACGTTCCTGCCCTTCCTGCCTGGCAGTGCCACGGTGGTAGAACAGCTCTTCTGGCATTGGTACGTTGGTGCTAAGAGCGATTTGCACTGGGCAGTCTGATTTGGTGCTGAGGATCTCATCTACGCTTGCTCGGATCACTCTGGTTCAGCATCCTGGGAGGCTTAGGGTGGATTTTAGCGCTGGCTGACATCTGCATCGGTGTGTGGCCACTCAGTCCTCAGAGTAACAACCTGCATAAAGGTAACTTGGACCAAACCCTCTGGACGCAGAGGAGGGCAGACCCAGCTGCCCCTTGCCACCCCTCCATCCTTCACTGCAACCATTAACAGCTTCCATGTGCCTCTGCACCCAACGGTTTTGTTTGGGGGTTACCTTGGTTATTCTGGCTTCAATAATTTTCACACTGGCGGAGTTTGCTTCTCCTTATCCAGCTGGAAGCAGAAAACTGGAATGACTTTGGAAGCCCCAGCTCCTTTGCCAAGGCAAGTGGGGCAGGCCCCTCCTGCCACCCGGCCACTGTTTTCGGCCACAAAACCCACACTTGGGCAGCTCTTTTGGGCACTTTTGTTTAACCTTTGGGGAGAATGATGTGATTGACGGGCACTCCTTAAATACTCCTCCAATGTCCTCTGCATAATGCAGGTCAGGGATGGAGCTGGCACTGTGTAAAGGGGCTCATCCGGCAAGCAA